AGCTGCCGGTGATGTCCACGGGCTGCTTCGTCTTCCCCACCGACGACTTCCTGCACTACTTCATGGATCTCCTTGAGCACCCAAATCCCTACTTCCTTGCCGAGGTGGTGACGGGCTTCCTTTATCCCAAGGTGGACGGCTCCTGCGCAGCCGCAAGTGTGACAACCATGCGAGGCAACAGCTACCATGGGTGCACTGGCGGCCTACAGGTTCGCAAGCGCTGTGCCCCCATGGAACACGTCGCAGTTGCTGAGGGCCGCCTGCCATGGTCATGGTTATAGCGGTTCCATGTAGGTTTTTGAGGCAGTCTACCAGAAAAATGCGGGTCTGGGAAAGAAAGACGGACAACAAGTGGTACAGCAACAAAGTAACATGAAGGTTCGCGCGCCTTGCGTTTCGGCACCAGCCAACATATTTTCTCAGAAAGGAAATCTGGCTGCGTACTCAGGTTTTCGCGCAACGCAGGTTGGGGAGCAGAAGAGAGCGCGGCTCTAACTGAAAGCATGTCCGCAACGAAGCTGTGTTGACCCGGCGTCACTTGGAAAAGCCACCACGAAAGCTACGAAAAAGGCTGCTGCAGGTAAAGGAACTGCCACGTTGATCCCACCCTGTCCTCCAAATCTGTGCAGCCCGAAGTCTCCTCTCTTGGTGGCTGGAGTTGCCTGACCCTTCCCGATGGGTTGATTCAGCTTTCAAATGGGCTCTAGGGGGGGGGTGGGTAGAGGGGGGGGCTTGGGCGGGGGGATGGGCTGGGATTTTTAAAGCCCCAAACTCTCGTCTGCGTCCTCAATGGGGCTGAAGACCTGAACCCTGATATCTTTTCCTTCTTGCCGGATGTGTCGCGTCGAGGCAACTTCCAGATCTTCAAGATTGACCTCGTCCTCGGTGAGAGCGAGCACTATGGTGAACCAGGCTTCTTCAAGCCTACGCCGGAGACAGGGAACGCACCAGAGCTGATGCTCCATCCCCGTGTGAAGCCCCAGTTTCCTAGTCCCGGCTCGGATGGCACTGGGCTGCTGGCCATGGACACCGGGTCGGATGCCAATCAAACTGCGCGGCTTATCACCTGCAGCAATGGCTGCCTCTTGGGAGATACCTTTGAGCTCTACAGTTCCGTAATATGCGCTTGCAGCGATTGCGGGCACAACCCTTTCTTCGACTGCGGGACTTGCGCCGGGGGCTGCCCTTCAGAGAGTGACGTCTGTGGCACTTATAAATGGTGCGACAACCCGTACGCCTGCAACTCTGGGTGCGTATACGGCGAAGCAAGGGTGAATGATGGTAATTGTGATTGTGAGGACGGGACGGTGATGTCACATTCGTTCTTGTCTGGGGGAGAGCCATAAAGTATAAGAGGCGGAAGAATCCCTCGTACACACACTCCTATGTCCCTCCAGGATCCTCATACTAACCCTAACCAATTCTGAGCTCGGCTTTGCCCTGACAACAGCTGAAGTACTGTCTGTGTACAGTACCAAGAAGTTGACCAATGGCACTGATTGCGAGGACTGCGAGGACGAGTTCGGCTTGACTTGCGACTCGTGCGGCGGGTGCCCGACGGATTGCCAGGACACTCCGGTAGATTGCTCCGCCATTGGGTCCTTTCAATGTACGGATGGCTGCGTGATCCCAGAAGGCATGGTGAACAACCGCAGGCGCTCCTGGGGGCACCGGGATTCAGGGTTGAAGAACCTGGATGCACCCTAAACCTTAAACCCTAAAACCTAAGCCCTAAACTCTAAACCCTAAACCCTAAACCCTAAACCCTAAACCTGGAGCTGGGATCTTAAGGGATGCCATGAGATGCCAGGGATGCAAAATATGGGGGGGTTTTGGCGAAAATTCGAGGTACCCTATTGGGGCCCTTATGGCAAGGGGATCCAATTCTTCTGGGGGTCTACTGTAGGGGTCCCTATTTTCGTAAACTCCCCTCTGAGGTATCTTCCTTCTAAGAAGCAACTCGTGATTGCGAGCTCTCCGGAAAGCTTTGTGCAAGCAGGTGCGACTGCTCGCAATGCGAGGACGAGGAGTTGTACACCTGTGAGACATGCGGGTATCCTTGCCCAACCACCTGTGGTCCTTTCAACAAACCGGAGTGTCTTCTCCTGAATGCGCCAGGAACCCAGTCACATTGGAGAGCGAGAGTTGTCACTTGTGTTGAGGCACATCTTCTGGTAGGTGGAGATGCTTCTGAGGCTTCATGCTGTTGTTCTGTTCACAGGATGCTTCCAGACGGTGTCAGTGTGGCTCCCAGCCGGCCGTGGACAATCCCACTGCGGTTCTACCTGTGCGATCTGCCTGGTACTCCAGTGGTGGCGAACCGGGAGCCTGAAACTGGATTGAGCACTTGGGTTTCGGGTGTATTGTTTTACTTCGGTTTTGCTATACACTTCTCTCCTTTTTAAGTTGCCAATGTCCAGCCGCCTGCCACTGGAGCGCTGTCAAGGTGACTTCGCAGATGCTCTCCGACCAGATTGCCCAACTGAACTCTGATTTCAGTGGCTCTACCTCCTGTGGCGTCGGACCGTACTACAATCTCTCCCTGGCGGACACCAAGGTGCAGTTCGCGCTGGAAGGAGTCGTCGAGATTGAGCATGCAGCATGTATGAACTGCACGAACCTTTCGCACCTGACCGCGAACATTCAAGGCATGGGAAGTGAGAGCACTCCAAAGTGTTAGGGGTTCAGCTCGTTGCATGGCCCCAATGGCACCGCCTTGTTTAGACATTTCCCTCGTGTTCTCCGGTGCGCAGTGTTTTTCTTTCAGGCCTGCAGCGTGAGGATGGCTTGATCAAGGTCGCAGCGTGTGACTTGGCGTCGAGCGGGATTCTCGGCAAGGCCGGCTTGCCTGGGTCTTCCGACGCCTACCGGCTCACAGTGGTGGATGATCGCAGCCTGCCGGGAGGCAGCCTGCTCTCCTACAACCAGGGGAAAACGCTGACGCACGAACTGGGCCATTACTTCGGGCTCTACCACACCTTCCAAAAAGGCTGCGATCAGTCTTCGAACTCGGATTACGTCGCAGACACAGCTATGGAAGAGGAGGCGAACTATGGTTCTTGCGCCACTTATCGCAGCACCTGTGGTTCGGGAGACCCTGTGCACAACTTCATGGACTACTCTGACGATGCTTGCATGTGCACTTTTACGCAAGACCAAGCAGAGCGAGTCTGGTACTTGGTCCGCTGCTTGCCAGAAACCAGTTTCGTACCCGTCGTAACCGTAGCGTTGCCAGGGGTAGCATGCAACTGCCGAGCCAAGGAGATCTTCAACCTGACCTGATGATCACCACCACCAGCACCACCGCCACCACCAGCGCCACCACCGCCACCACCGCCACCACCAGCGCCACCACCGCCACCACCAGCGCCACGACCGCCACCACCAGCGCCACCACCAGCGCCACCACCAGCGCCACCAGCGCCACCAGCAGCGCCACCACCGCCACCACCAGCGCCACCACCGCCACCACCGCCACCACCGCCACCACCGCCACCACCAGCGCCACCACCGCCACCACCAGCGCCACCACCGCCACCACCAGCGCCACCACCGCCACCACCAGCGCCACCACCAGCGCCACCACCAGCGCCACCAGCGCCACCAGCAGCGCCACCACCGCCACCACCAGCGCCACCACCGCCACCACCGCCACCACCGCCACCACCGCCACCACCAGCGCCACCACCGCCACCACCAGCGCCACCACCGCCACCACCAGCGCCACCACCGCCACCACCAGCGCCACCACCGCCACCACCAGCGCCACCGCCGCCACCACCAGCGCCACCACCGCCACCACCAGCGCCACCACCGCCACCAAGCGCCCCACCTCCAACACCAGCGCACCACCGCCACCACAGCGCACCACCAGCGCCACCACCAGCAGCCACCAGCGCCACAGCAGCGCCACCACCGCCACCACCCAGCGCACCACCGCCACACAACCGCCACCAAAGCCAACCACCGCACACACCGCGCCAACCACCGCCCCACCAGCGCCACCACCGCCCACACCAGCGCCACCACCAGCGCCACCACCAGCGCCACCAGCAGCGCCACCACCGCCACCCCACCCAGCGCCACCACCGCCACCACCGCCACCCGACACCACCCCACCACCGCCACCACAGAGCCACCACCGCCACCCCACAGCGCCACCACCGCCACCCCATCCAGGCGCCACCACCGGCCACACCCAGCGCCACAGCGCCACCACCAGCGCCACCACCGCCACACAGCGCAACCACAGGCCACACAGCGCCACCAACCAGCGGCCCCCACCAGCGCAACCACCAGCGCCACCACCGCCACCACCAGCGCACCAACCGCCACGACCGCCACCACCAGCGCCACCACCAGCGCCACCACCAGCGCCACCAGCGCCACCAGCAGCGCCACCACCGCCACCACCAGCGCCACCACCGCCACCACCGCCACCACCGCCACCACCGCCACCACCAGCGCCACCACCGCCACCACCAGCGCCACCACCGCCACCACCAGCGCCACCACCGCCACCACCAGCGCCACCACCAGCGCCACCACCAGCGCCACCAGCGCCACCAGCAGCGCCACCACCGCCACCACCAGCGCCACCACCGCCACCACCGCCACCACCGCCACCACCGCCACCACCAGCGCCACCACCGCCACCACCAGCGCCACCACCGCCACCACCAGCGCCACCACCGCCACCACCAGCGCCACCACCGCCACCACCAGCGCCACCGCCGCCACCACCAGCGCCACCACCGCCACCACCAGCGCCACCACCGCCACCACCGCCACCACCAGCGCCACCACCGCCACCACCAGTGCCACCACCGCCACCGCCATCAGCGGCACCACGATCACCGTGACAACAGCACCGGACGTCACGGCCACAACCACACTCACTGGCACTGCTGAAACTACCACCACCACGACTGTTTTTGCCACGGTGGATGCATCTGTGGGTGGTACAGAGGCCGGGTACGAGGGCGTAGCCGTGACAGCCAATGGCAAGGCGGTCTTCGCCCCAGGCCGGGACTACTTTCACATCTGCCAGAACTTCGACAATACTCGGGTTGGCATCTTGGATCTTGCAACGAGCCAGTGGGAGACCTTTCAACTGACAGATTGCGGCGTTGATCCTCCCACCCCGCTGCCTGCAAACGGCTGGAGAGGCGCGGCAGCTGTCGGCAACAAAGTCGTCTTTGCACCCGCCGATCAATGGCATGAGCCGAACATCGCGAAGGCGGTCGTTGGCATTTTCGATGTTGGGGTACAGCCCTACACCTTCACCCGTGTTGACATCACCAACAATGTGACGGTGTCAGACACCCGGGAACTCTTCAATGGCGCAGTGGCGATCGGCTCCGTGGTGGTCTTTACACCACACAACAGCGGCTTCGTTGGCGTCTACGACCTCAGCAACACCGCCCAACCCTACAGGCAGGCGGTGCCAAACGGAGGCTTAGCGCCTGGGGGCTTGACCGATGCGGTGGCTGTGGGCAACAAGGCCGTGTTCTGCCCGTATAGGCATACGAAGGTGGTGACCTTCGAGCCCGGACCAGATACCTTCGAGATCACAGACGTCTCCGGCAAGGTTACCTATGATGACTATGGCTTCCATGGGGCTGCAGCAGTCGGCACCAAGGTCTATTGTGCCCCATGGTATGAGAAGGCCATTGGCGTCTACGACGTGGAGACTCGGGCATTTGACTTGGTGGCCGCGGCTGTGTTCCAAAGCAATCCTACCTACAGCTTCTACTCGGCAGCATCCCTCGGCCCCATCGTCTACTTCGCCCCAGCGATAGGCGATGTGGTCCTTTCACTGGACACACGAGACAACTCCACAGCAACCAATGCAGGGCATGGTGCGCGCACCAACGGCGGCCCCAGCGGCGGCATCTATTCCTACTACTCGGGCACGGCAGTCATGGGGGCCAACAGCGGGTCCGGGACGGTGATCTTCTCACCTTTGGTCGCCAGGGACGTGCTGCTCATCCGCGTCGGGATCGCCAGCACCACTGCCACCACCGCCACCAGCACCACCGCCGTCAGCACCACAACCACAACCACACTCACCAGCACTGCTGAAACTACCATCACCACGACCGTTTTTGCCACAGTGGCTGCGTCTGTGGGTGGTATACAGGCCGGGTACGAGGGCGTAGCCGTGACAGCCAATGGCAAGGCGGTCTTCGCCCCAGGCCGGGACTACTTTCACATCTGCCAGAACTTCGACAATACTCGGGTTGGCATCTTGGATCTTGCAACGAGCCAGTGGGAGACCTTTCAACTGACAGATTGCGGCGTTGATCCTCCCACCCCGCTGCCTGCAAACGGCTGGAGAGGCGCGGCAGCTGTCGGCAACAAAGTCGTCTTTGCACCCGCCGATCAATGGCATGAGCCGAACATCGCGAAGGCGGTCGTTGGCATTTTCGATGTTGGGGTACAGCCCTACACCTTCACCCGTGTTGACATCACCAACAATGTGACGGTGTCAGACACCCGGGAACTCTTCAATGGCGCAGTGGCGATCGGCTCCGTGGTGGTCTTTACACCACACAACAGCGGCTTCGTTGGCGTCTACGACCTCAGCAACACCGCCCAACCCTACAGGCAGGCGGTGCCAAACGGAGGCTTAGCGCCTGGGGGCTTGACCGATGCGGTGGCTGTGGGCAACAAGGCCGTGTTCTGCCCGTATAGGCGTAAGAAGGTGGTGACCTTCGAGCCCGGACCAGATACCTTCGAGATCACAGACGTCTCCGGCAAGGTTACCTATGATGACTATGGCTTCCATGGGGCTGCAGCAGTCGGCACCAAGGTCTATTGTGCCCCATGGAATGAGAAGGCCATTGGCGTCTACGACGTGGAGACTGGGGCATTTGACTTGGTGGCCGCGGCGGTGTTCCAAAGCAATCCTTCCTACAGCTTCTACTCGGCAGCATCCCTCGGCCCCATCGTCTACTTCGCCCCAGCGGTAGGCGATGTGGTCCTGTCCCTGGACACACGAGACAACTCCATAGCAACCAATCCATGGCACGGTGCACACACCAGGGGCCGCTATTCCTACTACTCGGGCACGGCAGTCATGGGGGCCGACAGCTGGTCCGGGACGGTGATCTTCTCGCCCTTGGACGCCAGCGACGTGCTGCTCATCCGGGTCGGGACCGTGACCTCCACGGAGCTTCAGCAGGATATTGCCGCAGGGTCCAGGAACATACCCGTGGCAGACGTGAGTGACTTCAAGGTCGGTGACACCATCCGCATCTCGGACGCGAGCGCATCAGAGACCCGAACAGTCATCGACATCGTCGTCGGCCCGGCCCTGATTGAGCAGCACTCCCACAAGAGAGCCACGTCCACTCCTGGCATCCTGGTCCTGGATGCCCCTCTTGCGAACGCCTACCAGGCGCAAGAGTCGGCAAGTGTGGCCATCTCCGAATCGGTAAGCTTCACCAACCAGCCATCACTGGCGGGGCTCTACTGCTATGATGCCCACAACAAAACTAGCAACGCCTATGCCACCTGGCAGCCCAGTGGTGCCCTTGTTGCCCTCTTTTTGGGGGGGGTTCAAGGTTCGCTTGTCAAGGAGCAAACCATAGCAAACCCCTAAACCCTACACCCTAAAACCTAAACCCTAAACCCTAAATCCGAAACCCTAAACCCTAAACCCCAAACCCCACCAAGGCCAAACTCCAAGACGTCGCAAGCCGCGAGGTGTGCCAGCAGATTTGCGCCTCGGATGCGAAGTGCAACTTCTACGGCTACCACGGCTCCGCAAATGCTCTGGAGGCTGAGTTTTAGGGTTTAGGGTTTAGGGTTTAGGGTCTTATGGTAAATCGCAAGCGGTAGTAAGACAAATAGAGGAGAAGTCCCAGAGAGAAGCTCGCCGAAATCACATAGCAGCAGAATTCGCACAGTAAAGGAAAAGAAAGAAGAAAGCCCCCGCTTTTCTTGCCGCAGGGCGGCCTCCGGCCCCCCCCCCCCCCCAAGAGCCCCTTCTGCCAGGCCCCCAGTCGGTGCTACAACTGTGCCCTCTACGAGAGCTGCGAGTACCAGCGCGAGTCGGTGTGCAAGGACGTCACCCCGCCCTCGAACTTCGTGAAGAATCCCAGAGACACGGCGGCCCGGAGACTTCGAGGCACTTGGTAAGAGTTTTTGAGCTTTTGGGTACTATACTTCCAGACTCCCAAGAAACAGCAAACAAATATAATCTTTTTGGTAGGGTTCCTTAAGTTCAGAAAGAGGAGAGTTGAGAAGAAGTTCGAGGCCGACTACCGGCTCAACGGCCAGTTCTGCCAGCGGAGCCAGATCTTCGCCGAGCAGGTCGCCAACCAGAGTCTTGGTAGCCCCGTGGTAGCCCCTTTTCCCTGTTTTTTGGGGGTTCAAGGTTCACTTCTTAAAGTAACGAAACCCCCCAAAAAAGGGGTGCCCTTATTGCTATATCATGGTTACTGGGCTACCCAGGAGTGTCTGCCGCAGCTACTGCGAAAGCATTGGCGACTGCAAGGTCATGGCCTACTACAAGGACAGCCTTGTGCGCGAAGACGCAGCCTGGAACTCCTGCAACAAGAACTGCCGCCTCTACTCCGGATGCGACAGCCCCGTGCCCTCCCTGTGCTTCAACCCTCCGATCCTGTTCCGGGTTTGCGGCTCAGAAGATGGCTCCCAGAACATGGCACAAGAGTGGCACAAGAGGTCTAGCCATGCTGGGTCGTTGCCTACTTGGAGGTTCAAGGTACTTGTAACCCCAAGTCTGACTGCACGTAGCCCCCTATACGTTTTCCTAAGCAGGTTCCAAAGTAGATGTATAACTGTGGTTCTAAGTAGCCATGAACCTCCAAGTAGCCCTAAAACCTAAACCCTAAACCCTAAACCCTAAACCCTAAACTACAAACCCTAAGGGTGCGCCCGCGACTTGCCCAGCTCGATGTGAGGTTACGAACACCACGACAGCAAGCCCGTGAGCGTGCGGAGCTCACTTGCCTTCCGGGGCTGTGTCAGAGCATGCTGCAGCATAGCTATGAAGGGTTACCCGAAGCCCTAAGCCCTAAGCCCTAAGCCCTAAGCCCTAAACCCTAAACCCGAGCCCGAAACCCTAAACCTTTGTTGTTATCAGCATATGAGTTCTGGCAACATCAGAGGTGGGAGCCGACAGAGGCGTCAAAATGCCCCCAAGTCTGCCCCGGCTTGGACCCAAAGACTCCAATATCCCTTAGTTAAGGAATATACCTTAAATCATATTAGGGATCCTACTATAATTTAAGGAATATATATTCCTTAATTAAGGGATATTGGAGTCTTTGGGGAGGGCAGAACTGCGAGGAGCGTGCAGGCTTTCAGCTCCTTGAGAGCTGCGGTAGAAAGCCTGCGTATTTGTGTACAGATCAGTCGGCATCTCCGCCCGACATCTTAGCAATAAACATCGTTTAGCTTAAACGCACGCGTTCCCGCGTGCAGGGTCGTTTAAGTTCCCGGGAAAAAGCCGGAACGTTTCGGCCTGCGGCCCTGCCGAAGGCAGCGCGCGCGGTGCCTGGATCAAATTCAGTTGCCCTGCAGCGGACAAAAGTTGCTAAGCCTGCTTGTCCACTTCAGACTGTTCATCTGCTCACGCAGAATTTCTTGGCCTCCAACGGTGTGGGAACATGGTTCCACTGCTGCTAGCCGGCTCAACAAATGTTTTCGGTCAGAACGTAGTTTGCGGCCCGCCAGTGGACGCTGATGGCCATGTCTTCCGCGCGAAGACTTTCGGTCCTTTTCTGCTGCTGGGCACTCAGCAAAAAGGGCATGAAAAACATGAAAACCCTAAACCCCGAACCCCAAACCCCAAACCCCAAACCCCAAACCCTAAACCCTAAACCCTAAACCCTAAACCCTAAACCCCAAGCCCTAACCCCCGAAGCCTCTCAACGCCCTGCAATGAAGGCCAAGTCTTCTCCATCAGCGGCTTCAAATCCTGGGCTGATGTGACAGAGTCGTGTTTAACTTTGCTGCCCCTTGTCCGCGGGATGTATAGATTTGGGGCTCAAAAGGCTCAGGGGTCAGGGTTGAGTCTTGAGTTGCTCTGAAGGTTTAGCAGACTTGGCTGTCCCCTAAGCCCTAAACCCTAAACCCTAAGCCCTAAATCCTAAATCCTAAACCTCAAACCCCAAACCCTAAACCCTAAACCGCGTGCGGCGAGACTTGTCCCTAAGGAATGATGGTGGTTGGCATTATGTGCGAGTCGGAGTTGGGACCCCGCCGCAAAGCCTGGATCTCTTGGTGGATACAGGCGTGCGAGGGTTTAGGGTTTAGGGTTTAGGGTTTAGGGTTTAGGGTTTAGGGTTTAGGGTTTAGGGTTGTAGGGCATCTGCTTTCGCTGGTGGCTGATGATGACATCTTGGAAGGACACTCGGGCACCATCGTGAAGGACTGTCGCGCGATGCGAGGCGCCGCGTGGATTTCTCGCTACCGAGAAACCCTAAACCCGAAACCCCCAACCCTAAACCCTAAACCCTAAACCCTAAACCCTAAACCCTAAACCCTAAACCCTAAACCCTAAACCTTAAACCCTGAACCTTAAACCCTAAACCCTAAACCCTAAACCCCCAACCCTAAACCTAGACCCTAAACCCTAAACCCTAAACCCTAAACCCTGAACCCTGAACCCTAAACCCTAAACCCTAAACCCTAAACCCTAAACCCTAAACCCTAAACCCTAAACGACCCATGGCCGACAAAAACAGGTGACACCAAGAAGACCAAGTGCTTCACAGGTGCCTTGTTGTACAGGACTTCAAAGCAAGACCCCCTTCCTGAGTTCGTTTTGTGGCGCAGGTGAGAAGTCAACGACCTATGAACTGGGAGGGCACCATATCAAGCACCTGGGCCAGCTTGACAGAGTGAGGTTTAGGGTTTAGGGTTTAGGGTTGACAAGCCCCTCTAAAAGTAGTAGTAGTAGTAGTAGTAGTAGTAGTAGTAGTAGTAGTAGTAGTTAGTAGTAGTAGTAGTAGTAGTAGTAGTAGTAGTAGTAGTAGTAGTAGTAGTAGTAGTAGTAGTAGTAGTAGTAGTAGTAGTAGTAGTAGTAGTAGTAGTAGTAGTAGTAGTAGTAGTAGTAGTAGTAGTAGTAGTAGTAGTAGTAGTAGTAGTAGTAGTAGTAGTAGTAGTAGTAGTAGTAGTAGTAGTAGGTAGTAGGTAGTAGGTAGTAGTAGTAGTAGTAGTAGTAGTAGTAGTAGTAGTAGTAGTAGTAGTAGTAGTAGTAGTAGTAGTAGTAGACCCTAAACGCGAGGTGAGTAGATACACTCCAAACTGCGGGCAACCGTACCTTACCTTCCTCATCTTTTGCCCACATAAAAAAAACACACTTGCACAATGTGCTTTTCCAGAACTCTCCTTGTTTTCCAGACTTCCTCGAGGTCCCCCTTTTGGAGTTCCCCAAGCCCTAAACCCTAAACTCTAAACCCTAAGCCCTCAACGCTACACCCCAAGCCTCAATCTGCCAGGCTCGAATTCGGCAGCGGGAACATCTTTGGTCAGCTGGGGACGGATGTCGTCACTCGTTCATCCGGACAGCCTTCAAAATCTCCAAAAATCCTAAAGGCCCTAAAGGCCCTAAAGGGTTTAGGGTTTAATAAGGGTTTAGGGTTTAGGGTTAAGGTTTAGGGTTAGGGTTTAGGGTTTAGGGTTTAGGTTCAGGGTTTAGGATTTAGGGTTTAGGAAAAGCCCTACACATCGAAAGCCCTTAAGCGGCCTTAGAAACCCCAAGGGGCCCCCAACAAAACACCCCTGAAAGCCAACCTGAACCCTGAACCCTGAACCCTGAACCCTAAAACCCAAAACCCAAAACCCTAAACCCTAAACCCTAAACCCTAAAACCCTAAACCCCAGACCCTAAGCCCTAAACTCAGGTTGTTGTCGGCAAGTCCAAGGCACTGATGTCAGAAGGTGTGGTCTTCTGGCGCCTGGGAGCGGAGGTGATTTAGTTTGTTGAAGGGTTTTAGGGTTTTTGGGGTTTAAGGTTTGGGGTGTAGGTGGTTTAGGGTCTAGGGTTTAGGGTCTAGGGTTTGGGGGTTAGGGCCGTCCCCTCCCCCCCCCACCGCCCCCGCAGTGCTCGTGCCTTAACAAGAACAGCAATCAGCCTGCCAGCAAGAACGGAGAAAGGAAGTGACACGGGGTTGAACACGTGAATGTCCTTGAGTCCTAAACCTAAGCCCTAAACCTCTGCGCGAGGCACTCAAGCAAAGGTGAAGCTTTCGAGCATGCGCCGCTGGAAGGCTTGGGGAAACCTTAAACCCTAAACCCTAAACCCTAAACCCTAAACCCTAAACCCTAAACCCTAAACCCTAAACCCTAAACCCTAAACCCTAAACCCTAAACCCTAAACCCTAAACCCTAAACCCAAAACCCAAAACCCAAAAACCCTAAACCCTAAACCCTAAACCCGAAACCCGAAAAAACCTTGAACCCTAAACCCTAAACCCTAAAAACCCGAAAACCCACGACCACTCTGCAGCAGGTATCTTGGGCCTCGGCCTGCCACAGGACTTCACGGGTTGACCAAGCCCTAAACTGCTCCGACCGCTTTAGGGTTTAGGGTTTAGGGTTTAGGGTTTAGGGTTTAGGGTTTAGGGTTTAGGGTTTAGGGTTTAGGGTTTAGGGTCTAGGGTTTAGGGTTGAGGGTTGAGGGTTGAGGGTTGTTTTGTTGATTGCCCAGGGGAAGGACTCTGCTTTGGCCGGTTCCTCTTGGCTGGCTGCTGCATCCATTCAGCGCTTTTCGATGTGCTTCTCCGGCGCGGAGGCGCGCCCACGAACCCTAAACCCTAAACCCTAAACCCTAAACCCTAAACCCTAAACCCTAAACCCTAAACCCTAAACCCTAAACCCTGAACCCTGAACCCTAAACCCTAAACCCTAAACCCTAAACCCCCTAAGCTTGATTTGGCTTTGTGTGGTCTCCAGATCCTTGACCCGTAAACTCCTGATACGCCTAAACCCCTCAACCCCTAGGGTTTATTTAGGGTTTAGGGTTTAGGGTCCCTACACCTGAAACCTTAACCCCCTGAACCCCGAAACCTGAGCCCGAGAACCCCTAAACCCTAAACCCCCAAAACCGAACCTCTCAACCCCAACCCCCTAACGCCTAGAACCCCTAGGCCCTAAGCCCCCAACGCCCGAAACCCCTAAACCTAAACCCTAAACCCTAAACCCTGAACCCTAAACCCGAAACCCTAAACCCTAAACCCCAAACCCCAAACCCCCGAAACCCGAGAACACCGAAGCCAGCGGCGCACCATCCATGCAAGCTTGGGGTTTAGGGTTTAGGGTTTAGGGTTTAGGTTTTAGGGTTTTGGGTTTAGGGTTTAGGGTTTAGGGTTTCATTATAACTGTACTTAGAGAATCATATGAGGGCACTTAAGGGGCTTATCAGTGGGTTATAAGTACAGTTAACCGTGTCTACCAGATATACTTAAACCTTCATCGAGTTTCAGAATTTGGCCGCTTTGTTTTAGAATTGGCCGCCATATTTGCAGAATTGGCCGCTTTATTTTCAGAATTTGGCTGCTTTATTTTCAGAATTTGGCCAAATCAGGCCAAAGGCTTATTGAATTTCAGAATTTGGCCGCTTCATTTTCATAATTTGCCCGCTTTATTTTGAGAATTTGGCAGTTTTTTGTTTTCCTAGTGTTATGGGATTCTCTGGGTGGGTGGGTGTTGTATCAGAGCCATACAATACCTTTCCCATAAAGCTGCTCGATCCGGAGATGCTGAACCCTAATCCTAAACCCTAAACCCTAAACCCTAAACCCCAAACCCCAAACCCTAAACCCTTAACCCTTAACCCTAAACCCTAAACCCTATAGTTCAGTTATAATTTGTTAATAAGTACCATGAACCTCCAAGGAAGGTGGCATCTTGCGGCTCAACCCTCCGGTGCCTGGGCTGCATGGCGGGGGGGGTTTAGGGTTTAGGGTTTAGGGTTTAGGGTTTAGGGTTTAGGGTTTAGGGTTTGGGGTCTAGGGTTTAGGGTTTAGGGATTTGGGCTTTAGGGTTTCGGGTTTAGGGGTTTAGGGTTTAGGGAAGCATCCTCACGCACAAGCCCCCTTATCCAAGGCTGCGAAAATGAGGCTGGGAAACATCGGAAGGCCCCTTGGCCTTGCTTTGCTGCTTCCTAAACCCTAAGCCCTAAGCCCTAAACCCTCAACCCTCAACTCTAAACCCTAAGCCCTGAACCCTAAAATCTAAACCGTAAACCCTAAACCCTAAACCCTAAACCCTAAACCCTAAACCCTAAACCCTAAACCCTAAACCCTAAACCCTAAACCCTAAACCCTAAACCCTAAAAAGCCCTTCGCCGCAAAGGCCCGCCAACTACTGGGCCTTGAACCTTCAGGGCGTCTCCAGCGGTGACGCAAAAGCAAAGGTGGCCCCGTGCGGTGGGGAGAAGCGCCCGGGCTGCTTGTGATGAAGCGCTTTATATGTCCAGTATCCTTAAACCCTAAACCCTAAACCCCTAAACCCCTAAACCCCTAAACCCCTAAACCCCTAAACCCCTAAACCCCTAAACCCCTAAACCCCTAAACCCCTAAACCCTAAACCCTAAGCTCCAAGGAGCTCGGACGCCGCCTGTGCCCTCATTGTTGACACTTCGCTTGGAAGAGAAGCAACCTTGTAAAACCTTAGGGTTTAGGGTCTAGTGTTTAGGGTTTAGGGCTTAGGGCTTAGGGTGTAGGGTTTAGGGTTGGGATGTTCCCCCTTATTAACTAACAGTCCTTGATAAGGATGAAAATTGGGGGCACTATAATTCCGTGTAAGGACTGGTAGTATAAGGGGGAACATCCCAATGTGAGTCCACTGACCCCTATGGCCCTTAGGGTTTTGACTTCGCAGACTCTAGGCTACAAATCCCTGTCAATTCTATCAATCCTTCGAATCCTATGAATCCTATGAGTCCTATGAATCCTATGAACCCTTATCCCTGTGAAGCCCCATGAACCCTAAGCCCTGTGAGCCTTAAACCCCAAACCCTACACCCTAAACCCTAAACCCTAAACCCTAAACCCTAAACCCTAAACCCTAAACCCTAAACCCTAAACCCTAAACCCTAAACCCCAAACCCTAAACCCTAAACCCTGAACGGGCCCTGAACTGAGAACTGTGAGGACTCGGGAACCCAGATGATTACAGCGCCGCGTGCCCAGCTGCCGGATATCTACTCCTCCATCTGCGACGCGTGGCCACGGTGCAAGCACCTTGGGCACTTGGAGGTTCAGGGTACTTACACCCACAGCTTAGGGTTTAGGGTTTAGGTTTAGGGTTTAGGGTTTAAGGTTTAGGGTGTAGGGTTTAGGTTTTAGGGTTTAGGGTTTAGGGTTTAGGGTTTAGGGTTTAGGGCTACTAGGAAGTTCAGGGTACTTATGACCCCAATCATATCTGCACTAATAAGCCCCCTAAGTCTAAGTAGGTTAGGAGTACCCTAAACCCTAAACCCTAAACCCTAAACCCTGAACCCTGAACCCTAAACCCTAAACCCTAAACCCTAAGCCCTAAGCCCTAAGCCCTAAGCCGCACTCCCCTTAAACCCTAAATCCTAAACCCTAAACCCTAACCCCGAACTTTCAAGGCAGCTCATGGGGCAGCGGAAGTCCTCGGCTCCCGAGTCGGAGATCAAGATGGACAAACTGCTTCTTGGCAGGTTTAGGGTTTAGGGTTTAGGGTTGAGGACTTAGGGTCTAGGGTTTAGGGTTTAGGATTTAGGGTTTCGGGTTCAGGGATCACCCCCTGGCAGGGTTCAGGGTTGATTGATGAACCCCCCCCCCCCCCCCCCTCGGCAGCTGCTGGGAACGTGGCGGAGCTGAGGGTGGCCTAAACCCTAAACCCTAAACCCTAAACCCCCTAAACCCTAAACCCTAAACCCTAAACCCTAAACCCTAAACCCTAAACCCTAAACCCTAAACCCTAAACCCTAAACCCTAAACCCTAAACCCTAAACCCTAAACCCTAAACCCTACACCCTACAAACCCTAAAGCAGCCAAGGAAGGCGGTCGAATCTTTGCTAGAAGGATGCCAGGGGCAGGAATGGGCGACTGATGCAGCCCCTCGGCTGAAGATGGGCCCTAACCGGTCGTACCGAGGTTTTCAACAAAGCCGAAACCCTAAACCCTAAACCCGAAAGCCGAAAGCCGAAACCCTAAACCCTAAACCCTAAACCCTAAACCCTAAACCCTAAACCGCTTGAAGGTTCATGGTATTTTATAACCAAGTATAACTGTACTTATAGCCCAAATGATAAGCATATTAGGGCACTTAAGGGGCTTATACATGGGATATAGGAGAAGTTATAATTGGTTAATGCGTACCATGAACCTCCAAGCACAAACCCTAAACCCTAAACCCTCAAACCCTAAACCCTAAACCCTAAACCCTAAACCCTAAATCTGCACCCGTCAGGGTTCCAAAGTAGCTTGAGCGGAGAGAAGAACTTGGTCAATGGCCCAAAGGCTCACATAGACGAAGACGGCCAAAGATGTAGGACCCTAAGCCCTAGACCCTAGACCCTAAACCCTAAACCCTAAACCCTAAACCCTAAGCCCTAAACCCTAAACCCTAAACCCTAAACCCTAAACCCTAAACCCTAAACCGCTCATATCCCAGGCAGCTTTGAACAAGGAGCTGCCTCCGCTGTATTGGCACGCGCCGCGGCAGCAGGGGTCTTTGGGGCCTGACTGCCGCAGGGTTTAGGGTTTAGGGTTTAGGGTTTAGGGTTTAGGGTTTGGGGTTTAGGGTTTGGGGTTTAGGGATGTTTGGGGTGTAGAGGGCTGCTTTGGCAGGGCTCCCAACCCAAAATCCTAAACCCGAAACCTTAAACCTTAGACCCTCAACCTGAAACCTTAAACCCCAACCCCCGAACACCCTAAACCCTAACCCCTAAACCCTAAACCCTAAACCACCCAACCCTTCACCTGAGGTTGGAGCCGGGGGTCAGACTGAGACGCTGAAGCTGGCAGCCAGCAGCTACGTTGCGCCTCATCTCTAAGGGGGGTTTAGGGTTTAGGGTTTAGGGTTTAGGGTTTAGGGTTTAGGGTTTAGGGTTTAGGGTTTAGGGTTTAGGGTTTAGGGCATGGGTATTTTCAGGGTCCCTTAGTTTTGAGCCTAAGGGTAGTTTCAGGGTCCCTTGAGTATGGGATGGTTGTTAGGGTTTAGGGTGTAGGGTTCAGGGTTAAGGGTTTTCAGGGTTCAGGGCAGGTTTCATGCCTCGGTACGGGCCCTTCAATGCCTTGTATACCCCTTCTGCACCCTGTATAACCCAAGGGCCCACACCTCAGAACCCTTTTCAAAAAAGTTAGGGACCACCTTAAAGGGATCGTCTAACTTCCCGTAGCTGACCGGCGGTGAGCAGAGGGGTCTATGGGGGTTTATCGGGGTTTACAGGGGTTTACAGGGGCTGTTTGGGCTTGTAGGGGCCTAGGGGTTTGAGGGGGGTTTGGGGAGGGTTTTGGGTAGTGGGTAGGGGCTTAGGTAGGGGGGTTTGGGGGGTTTAGGGGGGTTTAGGGAGGTTTAGGGGGGTTTAGGGGGGTTTGGGGGGTTTACGGGGGTTTAGGGGGGGTTTATGGGGGGGGGTTTGGGTTGGGTTTGGGGGGGTTTGGGGGGGTTTCGGGGGTTTCCGCACTGCTCAGGTGTTGATTGACTCCGGGGACAAGAGCGGCCCCCTTTGTTATCCTGGAATTCAACAGATGGACATACAGCTCGACGCCCTGACTGGACCACTCATCATCATTGGCACCCCCCTGTTCAACGAGTATGAGGTGCAATTCGCCCAGGGCTCAGCGAAGGAAGTCGGGACACCTTTTCGTGCACAAAGCCCGTTGGGAATCTAAAAAACAGCGCCCACTATCCAGGTCAGTCGAGTCCAAACGATACGGAGCATCTTAAACCCCAAGCGCGCAGCCCTGAGCCTGCACCCCAAACCCAAACCCTAAACCCTAAACCCTAACCAAAATGGATGCAACCCGGAAGCTAACGCCCTTGAAGCCCCAAGTACATGCGCCAAGGATCTGTCGACTGACACCATCTCCTTCTCCCCGTCTTCGTGCGGGTCGACAGCTCAGATGCTTTCCGTGGGTTGAAGGCCCTGAACCTACTAAGCAGGAAGGAAGTAGGGGGGAAAATGTCGAGCAGACCCTAAGCCCTAAGCCCTAAGCCCTAAGCCCTAAGCCCTAAGCCCTAAGCCCTAAGCCCTAAGCCCTAAACCCTAAACCCTAAACCCTAAACCCTACACCCTAAACCCTAAACCCTAAACTCCAAGCCTGCAACTGTTGGAGGATTTAGGGCTTTTCGAGTTTTAGGGTTTAAGGGCGGCGGGGGATTCGGGGTACTTGTTCCAAGCTTACCTCACAGCCCTTATCACCATTTCTCACCCTAAACCCTAAACCCTACACCCTAAGCCATAAACCCTAAACCATACACCCTAGACCCTAGACCCTAGACCCTAAACCCTAAACCCTAAACCCTAAACCCTATACCCTAAACCCTAAACCCTAAACCCTACACCCTAGACCCTATTCACTCTGACCACCCTGAGCTGAGTGTGGCATGTACTTCGTATGCCAAGTGCACCTCGGGGTCGCGCGGAGGCTCTACCCAGCTTCGCAAATGCTTTGGTCTTAGGTCTTAGGTCTTAGGGCTTAGGGTTTAGGGTTTAGGGTTTAGTTTAGGGTTTAGGGTTTAGGGTTTAGGGTTTAGGGTGTAGGGTTTAGGGTTTAGGGTTTAGGGTTTAGCTTAGCTCTTAGGGCTTAGGGTTTAGGGTTTCCCTCCCCGCATCCCCTGTCTGAGGTCATGTGATCAAGATTCCACGGTGCCTTGCTGAGAGAGCTTGTCGAACTGCCTCACTGCTTTCGCTGAATGCGCCTGACACAAGGCGAAGCCTGTTGCGAAACTGATGAGCAGGATCGGTTGCGCGCTGAGCTCACTCATTACATGGTTTTACGAATGTCCATATAACAATCTTATCTGTACAGAATGCCAGAATTTTAGAATGTTAGATTATCAGAATGCTAGGAATATGAGGAATATTAAAATATTGAGATATTAGAATACTAAAATATTGAATATAAATACATAAATAAATATATAATTAAATAATAAATAAATAAATAAATAAAAATATAAATATATATATATATATATACATATATATTTGTTTTTTAAAGAGTATTTTCAAGGTTACAATTGTAATTTTACAATACAGCGCAGGAAGCAGAAGCTGCAGCGTGTGGATCGCGCGGCGTGGATGGACAGAAAGGCGCGCTCTGCAGCACTGCAATGTGGAGCTTTACGAAAATAGGTTTAGGGTTTAGGGTTTAGGGGGTTTAGGGTTTAGGGTTTGGGTACCCCTTTCTCCCTCCAAGTTTAGTAGAATCCCCTTGAAATAGGAATTTTAGGAGGGTACCCCTTAATTTCGGAAACCCCCATGTGATGAGCAGCTGTTGCAGCGACAGGCATGGACGCACCGGTACAACGCGAGCTTGCAATTCTGATGCTGCCGCGATGCTGGGCAGTGTGGGGACACATACGGCGCTGGCTGCTTTCTTGCGTCTATGACTGCTGGATGGTCCCCACTCTCCACCATTGGGATATCTTTTCTGAATCCCCGTGGCTATGCACGTTTTACATGCCTTCCTGGGCAAGTCGATCAGGCAGTGTCTCAATGCAATGTACAGTATTATGGCTGTGTCTCGGCCACCAGGTGTGGTCATGCCTGTGTGGATCAGGGCATAACTAGGCTGAAGGGCCTTAGGGTTTATGGTTCAGGGTTTAGGGTTCGGGCCCGTCTTGTGGAAATATCCGCTGGCAGAAGGCTCTTGCGCAATGATTCCGATGGCTGCTCGCCTCTGTCAGGGTTTAGGGTTTAGGGTTGAGGGTTTACGGTTCGGGTTTAGGGGTTAGGGGGCGCGCTTGGGATTGCAAAGAGCTTTCTGTCAACGGTGCTGAGATGGGATGGCAACTCGCGCAAAAAGGCTCATGCTTACATACGGGGGTTTCCCCCTAAACCTTTAGGGGTTTAGGCTTTAGGGTTTAAGGTTTAAAAGATTTGGGGGTGTCCGGGATTAGGGGTACCTTCTTGGGGCCCTTATTATAAGGGAATCCTATTATTTGGGGATCTATATTGGGGGTCCCCTATTCTCGCAAACCCCTATATTTCTGTGCAGTTGCAGCCACACGGAGAGGGATCTAGCAGGTGGCATATAGCCACAAGACACGTCAAGACTACGTCGGACAACCTCATGGCTACTATCTGATGAACTGCACTCCTCCATGCTGACAAAAGTTCCCTACAAGTACCGGTGAAGATTTGTTCATGTGATTTGCTCTGCCGCTAGCATAGCAAAATATCATGCGTGAAACGCGCCCGGAGTTGCTCGCAGCTTCACTTGGTGGGGGGGTTTCGTGGAGCAGCAGAATCTGGGTCGCATCCTCAGCACGATTCTCTGAGCATGCGCAGTCCGGCTTGCAACGCAGCTGCCCCTCAAAAGCTGCACCCGAAACCCCTAAAGGTTTAGGGCTGTTTTTTCTCACTGCAAAGGTTTAGGGTTTAGGGTTTAGGGTTTAGGGTTTAGGGATTAGGGTTTAGGGTTTTAGGGTTTAGGGTTTCGGGTTTAGGGATTAGGGTTTAGGGTTTAGGGTTTGGGGTTTGTGGTTTAGGGTTTAGGGGACCTGATCCCTAAACCCCAGAAACTGCTGGCTGTCATGTTCTGTCCACCACTAGAATAAGCTTCTCCCTGAGCTTAGGCCCTGCTGCTCTTCTTTGTGGCCCCACCAGGCCACGGGCTGCTTCCATTTCGATTCTTTTGATTTTCAGGGGGCGAAGTGGGGGTCTGGGGGCTCATCACTTGACCCCTAAACCCTAAACCACCTAAACCACCTAAACCACCTAAACCACCCAAACCACCCAAACCCTCGAAATCCTGAACCCTAAACCCTAAACCCTTTAAAACTGTAATCCTAGACTCTAAAAGTTCCTGCAGCCTTTAACAAACTAGAACGCCTCCTACAGAGGACCACCCTTTTCCCAAGCCTTAAGCCCTCAAACCCCTGAAGCCCTGAAATCTTGAGACCTTAAAGCCCCCTTGAACCCTAAGCCCTAAACCCTAAACCCTAAACCCTAAACCCTAAACCCTAAACCCTAAACCCTAAACCCTAAACCCTAAACCCTGAACCCTGAACCCTGAACCCTGAACCCTGGCACCCTGCACCCTATTCCCGGCAGCCGTGGGCCCCCCCCAACTCCGGAACCCTCCAGCCTTTAGGCCCAAAGAACCCCAAACCCCAAACCATACAACCCTGAACGCCAAACCCTAAACCCTAAACCCTAAACCCGAAACCCTAAACCCTAAGCCCTAAACCCCAAACCCTAAACCCGAAACCCTAAACCCTAAACCCCAAACCCTGAACCCCCCCCCCATAAGCCCTGAGACTCTGCCCTCGAGGATGCGCTGGCGCCTTGGCCACACCCTGACGCGGCTGAGCCAGCGGCAAGCGGCCGGGAGCCCGAACTTCTCAAGTGTTTGGGGGTTTGGGGTTTGGGGTCTAGGGTTTTAGGGTTTAGGGTTTTGGGTTCAGGGTTGTTGGGTTTAATTAGGGATTTACGGTTTGGGTTTGGAGGGTTTGGGGTTTCGAGGGTTTGGGGTTGGGGTCTGGGGTTTCAAGGGCCTCTTGAGGCCGATAAGTTCGCGACCCTGGGTCCCCAACCCGAAAGCCCCAACCCCTCAACCCTAAACCCGAAATTGAACCCTAAACCCGTTGCGAAAGCCCTAAACCCTAAATAAGAAACGCTAAGCCCTAAACCCTAAACCCTAAACCCTAAACCCTAAACCCTAAACCCTAAACCCTAAACCCTAAACCCTAAACCCTAAACCCTAAACCCTAAACCCTAAACCCTAAACCCTAAACCCTAAACCCTAAACCCTAAACCCTCAACCCTCAACCCTCAACCCCATTCCCTACTTTCCGTGGGTTGAAGGCCCTGAACCTACTAAGCAGTAAGGAAATAGGGGGGTAAATCTCGAGACCCTAAACCCTAAACCCTAAACCCTAAACCCTAAACCCTAAACCCTAAACCCTAAACCCTAAACCCTAAACCCTAAACCCTAAACCCTAAACCCTAAACCCTAAACCCTAAACCCTAAACCCTAAACCCTAAACCCTAACCCGTAAACCCTAAACCCTAAACCCTAAACCCTAAACCCTAAACCCTAAACCCTAAACCCTAAACCCTAAACCCTAAACCCTAACCCCTAAAACCTAAACCCTAAACCCTAAACCCTAAACCCTAAACCCTAAACCCTAAACCCTAAACCCTAAACCCTAAACCCTAAACCCTAAACCCTAAACCCTAAGTAAGAAACGCTAAGCCCGTGGGCTAGGGCCTTAGGGCTTCCGAAGTACTCGGGTAATCTTGGGCTTTTTGGGGCTTAGGGCTGAGGGTTTAGGGTTTAGGGTTTGGGGGAAAGTCTTAGCGCGGTCCACAGGCCAGCCTCTCCCTCTGCACCCTTAAAGTGGTAGGGGGCTTTCCGAAAGGCATACTGATTCAAACCCTAAACCCTAACCCCTAAACCCTAAAACTTTAATCCTCAGCACTAAGCTCTTTGTAGGTTTCGGGCTCAGGGTTGACGGCAGTGGGCCGAACATGTTGTCACTTGAGAGTCTGGTAGATCTTCACGAAACAAGCCTTTCGGAGCCTCTAGCCCCCGCCGCGCTAAACCCTAAACCCGAAACCCTGAACCCTAAACCCTAAACCCTAAATCTCAAACTAAAGGTTGCTCCTGTTGACACGTGTGCTTGAGGCTCGGTGCTATACGCCGCGGATACGATTTCGTGCTGCGGCCTCAGTTTCGGGTTTAGGGTTTAGGGTTTAGGGTTTACGGTTTAGGGTTTAGGGTTGGTTTGGGCACATGCTAATTAAGCCCCTGCTCCCCAAACACCTAAACCCTCAAACCCTCAAACCCTCAAACCCCAAACCCCAAATGCCCCAAACCCTAAACCCCAAAAACCCAAAAACCCCGAAAACCCTACAACCCTAAGCCCTAAAAACCCTAAACCCCAAACCCCCAAAACCCCCCAAAAACCCCCCAAAACCTCCCAAAACCCCCCCAAAACCCCCCAAAAACCCAAAAAACCCACAAAACCACCCAAAAAACAAAAACAAAAAACAACCCAAAAACCCCAAAACCAAAAAAACCCCCCCAAAAGCCCCAAAACCAAAAAAACCCCAAAAAATCCCCCAAAAACCCCCCAAAACCCCCCCAAAACCCCCCGAAAACCCTCCAAAAACCCCCAAAAAACACCAAAAAACCCCAAAAAAGCCCCCCAAAAAAACCAAAAAAAACCACGAACAACCCTAAACCTTAAACCCCCCAAAAAACCCCAAAACACCCCCCAAAAAACCCCCCCAAAAAAAAAACCCTTTCACCGAATCTGCCCGGGCGCGAGGCCGGGGCCTCCGTCGCGGCGCGAAGCTCGGAGGAGTTGCTGGGCGAGCTCCGTGGGCTCCTGACCAAGGCGGGATACTTTTTTTTTTTTTTTCATTTTTACATTTTTCTTTTTTCTTTTTATTTTTTCATATATATATATATATATTTTTTTTTATATATATATATACATTTTTTTCTTGGGTTTCAAGGGGTTTTAGATTTTTCTACATGTCTTTGTAGGGGGGGTTTGGTTCCTTCTTTTCTTTTTTGAGGGGTTTTGGATTTTTCAGTTTGTCTGTTTTCTTGTTTTACGTGTTTTTTTTGTGGGGGGGGGGGGGGGGGGGGTGATTTCGCTGTATCAGGTACCAGTTCCTAATTCGGTTTTAGGGGTTCAGGGGCTGTAGGGTACGGAGCCTTATGTTTCGCATATGCGAAGGACGAATTATCTAATTGGTCTAGAGAACGGCCCCTAGATTGTATTATTTTTTGAAAGGTTTTTTTTGGTGTTTTTGGAGTTGCAAGTTCTCTAGGCTCTCAATCTTATAGTGTTCTCAAGGGAGGGGGGGTTCAACTCTTTGGATAGAACCATCCCAAGTTGATGTCCCTCCATGTGTTTCCTTTGGCCCTCCAGGTTCGCCAGGTTCACTCAAGCGCGCCTTCAAGCCTCACTTTCAACCTTAACGTTGAGGGTCCCCGGGTTTAGGGTGTTTAGGGTTTAGTGTTTGAGGGTTTCGGGTTTCGGGTTTAGGGTGTTTAGGGTTTAGGGTTTCGGGTTTAGGGTGTTTAGGGTTGAGGGTGTCCTTACACGCAAATCCCGAAGTCCACAGCTTGCGCTCTGTTCGGGGGGCCATGGCCTCTACGCTTGATGCTGCGCAGCAGGACCCGGACAGAATGCAGGGAAACCCGGAACCCTAAACCCTGAACCCCGAACCCCAAACCTTGAACCCTAAACCCTGAACCCTGAACCCTAAACCCTAAACCCTAAACCCTAAACCCTAAACCCTAAATGGAGTTCCATAGTTGCTCTGTAAGCACACGATACGATGGAAGGATGGTGCGATCCCAAATAGTAAGGGTTTGGGGTTTAGGGGTTTGGGCTTTGAGTTCTACAACTACAACTGCCACTGCCCTCAAGACGAACGTGGACGAACGTGATTGCTATATACAGCATCACTTCTTGCCGCTGGACCCGAACTCAAAATCCTAAATCCCCTAAACCAGAAAAGCCCAAAATCCTGGACAAGAAACATCCTTGGAAGGGGGGGGGGGGGGCTAAACACATAACCCGAGACCCCAAACCCCAAACCCCAAACCCCAAACCCCAAACCCCAAACCCCAAACCCCAAACCCCAAACCCCAAACCCCAAACCCCAAACCCCAAACCCCAAACCCTAAACCCTAAACCCTAAGCCCCTAAACCCGAAACCCTAAACCCCTAAACCCTAAATCCCCTAAACCCCAAGCCCTAAGCCCTAAACCCTAAACTCTAAACCCTAAACCCTAAACCCTAAACCCTAACCCCGGAACCCTGAACAAACCCCAGGAGGCCGGGAGCCAGGGCCAGCCCATGAGCAAGGAGGCGCTTCTTCCTCCTCCTCCTCCTTCTTCTTTTGTTTCATTTCAAAGTGTAGATTTTATCATGTTTTAAATATCTAGTTTGTTTTTTATATTGATGTGATTACTTTTATTTCTTGTTGATTTTTTTTATTCATTCGTTTGGTTGTTAATTTGTTTGTTTGTTTTTTTGCTTGTGTGCTATTACGTCTATATGGGCTGGGTGGGAGAGGGTGGGGGGTGTGGGTGTTGGCTTCGAGTTTAGGGTGCTGGGTTTTTGGGGCTACTAGGGTTTAGGGTTTAGGGTTTAGGGTTTAGGGTTTAGGGTTTAGGGTTTAGGGTTTAGGGCTACTAGGGCTACTAGGGCTGGTGTGGGCCTAGGATGTAGGATTGCGGTCGAGCATTTTGTTGGGCATTCGGGGTCTTGTTACGGGACTCAGAGAAGTCGAGGGGCTTGAGGCTGCCAATAGCTTCAGGGTTTGGGGGCTTGACAATTAAGGCGGTGGAGCTGAGAGGTGTCGAATCCCCCAGCTGAAGCCGGTTTCTCGGTTTTGAGCGCTTGGAGTTTTTAGCGCAGACAGACAAAGACCGAGAGAGAGAGAGAGAGAGACAGAGAGAGACAGAGAGAGGGAGGGAGGGAGAGAGAGAGGGAGAGAGAGCGAACGAGTGAGGCGAGCGAGTGAGCGAGTGAGCGAGCCCCAAACTAAGCCGTAAGCCCTACACCCTAACCCCCTAACCCCTAAACCCTAAACCCTAAACCCTAAACCCTAAACCCTAGACACCCTCTTTGGAGGCCGTGATGCAAGGCAGCGTAAGCTGGTCGAAGCGCCGAAACGGGAGTGGTGACCGCCCCGAGGCGCAGGCGCCGGCGGAGGAGAAGGAGCCGAGAGCTTGGGGAAGGGTTTAGGGTTTAGGGTTAGGGTTTTAGGGTTTAGGGTTTAGGGTTTAGGGTTCAGGGTTAGAGGGTTTGAGGGGAACTTTCGGCATTCGTGGAGGGATTGAGCCGCTCCGGTTTGAGGATTCAGGAGGATGGATGTGTCACGAGATTCGCCACATTTCCGTAGGGCCCTTGGACCCTGTAAACCTTAAGCTCTCCCCGAACCCTAAACCCGAAACCCGAAACCCTAAACCCTAAACCCAAGACGCTACCCTAAGCCCTAAACCCTAAACACCCCCTGGAAAGAAGCCTGGTGGAAAAGCTGCCCCCAAACCCTAAGCCCTAAACCCTAAACCCCAGACCCCAAACCCTAAAACCCTAAACCCTAAACCCTTTGGAAAGGAGTCTGGTGGAAAAGCTGCCGCCTCCTGCCCGGATCCCGCACAGATCATGGACTGGAGCGGACAGCCATGCCTGCCGCTGCCAAAAGTCTGTTTCAAGTTTTAGGGGTATATTCTAATACTGTAGAACATGAGTATATATATATATATTAATATATATGTATCCATATCTATATGTATATGTATATGTATATATATATATATAGATGTTGTTTTTTGTTCCATCCTATTCGGTTTTCCTGAACCTTGAGACCATGTTTTGTGGTGGTTTGGCGAGCCAGCCCGAGGTCGACGGATGTCTCGCAGCGGCAGCGCCGCGAGCGTGGCGAGCAGCAGCGACGGAGAAAGCGCCACGAGCACTGCAAGTGCTCACATCATGGCGCAGTACCTGAGCCCTGCCCGCAAGGTTTGTAGTTGTCTACATTAGGTCGTTAGGGTCCCTTATTGTGCCGTACTAAAAAACGGGAACCCGCAAGGGAACTTCATTCAGAGAATGTTCGTTGGCCACGGCTCCGCCCTTCCTCTCTTCTGGGGTTTGCCTTTTGAGGGTTTGGGGCTTCGTGGGCGGGGGTTCTCCGCGCGCCCTCTTTCGGTTTCTTTCCGAGGTTGTGGTTGTTGTTTCGGTCCTGCTCTTTTGGCTTCTTTCCAGGGTTTCTCCCAATCGCGTTGCTTTGCTGGCTGCCCTATATAGTCCCTTAAAGGGTAGAAAGGGCCCTAATTCCCTCATTCCCTTCTACGAACCAGGTTTTTTTGTTCTTGGCTGTTATTGAGCACAAGACTCCTCTACTGGGCTGTGAGCACAGATGTACTGCGTGTTTTGGCCTGAGATCTCCCAGCCCTCCGAAAGCCCTAAACCCTAACCCCTAAACCCTAAGCCCTAAACCCTGAACCCTAAACCCTAAACCCTAAACCCTGAACCTTCAGCCCTAAACCCTATCAGTGCCTGGCCAGAGTCCGACCTGAAACTCCGACATGTAGGCCCGCAGCAGTGCAACCTGAACTGGGCCAGCACAACCACCCTGAACAAAAAGTTATTCTTACTACTAGTATTGTTATTGATGACCACATATTGAATTGAATAAATATATATGTATATGTATATATACATGGCTACTATTTTACATATATATGTATATGTATATGTATATGTATATGTATATGTATATGTATATGTATATGTATATGTATATGTATATGTATATGTATATGTATATGTATATGTATATGTATATGTATATGTATATATATATATATATGTATATGTATATGTATATGTATATGTATATGTATATGTATATGTATATGTATATGTATATGTATATGTATATGTATATGTATATACATACATATATACAGCATGTCATCCCGATGACAAAACGTGCAGGAAGTGCTACAGAGGCCCCCTCAAAAACTAGACCCAATGAACGGTGCAGATGCGCTCAAGGTAATCTAAGCCCTAAGCCTTAAGCCCTAAGCCCTAAACCCTAAACCTTAAACCCTAAACCCTAAACCCCTTTCCCTACTAACCAACCCTAAGACCCAAGGAACGGTGGAGATGCGCTCTCGCAGCCGCCCGAACGGGTGGTGGCGTGGCGCCGGTCGCGGCAGGAGAGTCTGCTCGTGATCTCAACACCTTCTAAATCCTGAACCCCAAAGCCCTAGGCCCAGTAGCCCTAAACCATAAACCCTAAACCCTAAACAATGAACCCTAAACCCTAAACCCTAAACCCTAAACCCTAAACCTAAGCCCTAAACCCTAAACCCTAAACCCCTAAGCCCCAAGCCCTAAGCCCCAAAGCCCTAAACCCTAAGCCCCAAGCCCTAAGCCCTAAGCCCTGAAAACTGGCTAATGTCTAATCCCCACTACCCCGAACCTTAAGTCCTAGATCTGAAAGGGCTCGCAGCTTCGCGGGGTAGCATCACGTATGGCTGCCAGGGGTATGCTACCGGGTGTGAGAAGTTTAGGGTTTAGGGTTTAGGGTTCATTTAACCCTAAACCCCCTGAACCCTAAACCCTAAACCCCAAACCCCAAACCCCAAACCCTAAACCCTAAACCCTAAACCCTAAACCCTAAACCTTAAACCCTAAACCCTAAACCCTAAACCCTAAACCCTAAACCCTAAACCCTAAACCCTAAACCCTAAACCCTAAACCCTAAACCCTAACCCTGGATCAACTTTTCGGCTGCGAGCCCAGAAATTGGCCTGTGCCCAAGCATCCAAAAAACAGCTCCTGGACGCGACTGGGCGGCGCTGCGAAAAAGCTCGGGAATCCCAAGCCCAAAAGACCAAAGCCCACCGAAACACGCTACCGGGCTTATAGGAGGGTTTATAGGGTATAGGGTTATAGGGTTTGTTTTATAGAGTATTCGTAGGGTTGTAGGGTTTCTAGAGGATTTCAAAGGGCTTGCAGGGTTATCGGGCTGGTAGTCTTATAGCTCAGGCTCTGCCGGGTGAAGGGCCTGAAGCCCTTGCGCTTAGTTTTGGGGCTCGAGGTTTAGGGCTTGCTGTAGGCTTTAGGGCTTTTGCCGGGGTTTGGGGTGGCAGGTTTAAGGGCTGGGCGGTCACGGGCTTGCGGTTTAGGGCTCGGGCGGCTTCCCAAACACCTAAACCAGCACCCCGAGGTGTTTCCCAGGACCTTTGACCCTAAACTCTAAACCCGAAACCCTCAATCCTAAACCCTAAACCCTGAACCCTAAACCCTAAACCCTAACCCTAAACCCCTTCAGCCCAAAGTGCTCCCAACTCCCACCCCTTGCTTTCTGAGGTTGTTTGTTTCCAAAGGGTTTTGGGTTTAAGGTTTAGGGTTTAGGGTTTAGGGCTCCCGGTTTAAGGTTTAGGGTGTAGGGTTTAGGGTTTAGGGTGACTCAATACCCAAACCTGCTCTCAGGGCGACGGCAGCATCGCCGGAGTCCAGCAGCTCTCGAACCAGGTGCGCTGTGGTTTTGGGCCCTTTGGTGGTCTACAAAGGGCTCAGGGTTTGGGGTTTAGGGTTTAGGGTTAAGGGTTTGGGGTTTGGGGTTTAGGGTTTGGGGTTCAAGGTTTGGGGTTCCGGTTTGGGGCTTCTGGCTTGGGGCTTTGGCTCACGAACGGATCCTCCTTCAGACACGCCAATAAACCCCTAAGCCCTAGACCCCTACACCCCAAAGCCCCCCCAAAACCCTAATCCCTACTTGGAGGTGTTCATGGACCGTACTTATAATCCACTTATAAGCCCCTTACTTACCCTAAAATGGTTAAAATTGGGTGATAAGTGCACTATTCACCAAGTTTGTCTGTATTAATAACCCACTTATAAGCCTCTTTGCTTACCTAAATATGGTTATAGTTGGGTTGGAAGTGCAATTGCTATTTTGTTAGTAAGTACCATGGACCTCCAAAATAGCCGTGGTACGTGATAACTTGAGAAGCTGCGCATGGGACGGTCCTTTATTATTGTTATTATTATTATTAGTATTATTATTAGTATTATTATGATTATTAGGAATTATATTATTATCAGTATTATTATTAGTATTATTATTATTAGTAGTATTTTATTTTTATGATTATTGTTATCATTATTAGTATAAATAGTATTATTATTATTATTATTATTATTATTATTATTATTGTTATTATCATTATTAGTATTATTATTAGTATTATTATGATTATTATTACTATTTGTATTATTGTAATAATTAATATTATTTTATAATAATTAATATTATTTTTATTTTTAGTATTGTTATTTTTATTATTATTATTATTATTATTATTATTAGTATTAGTTATTTATTTTTGTTTTTGGCTTTCTCATTTTTTAGGATTTAGGGTTTAGGGTTTGGGGTTTAGGGCATGCCCCTAAGCCCCAAAACAGCGCGCAGAGCTAATTCCCAAACCGCAAGCGCCCCAAGAAGCCCTAAACCCTAAACCCTAAACCCTAAACCCTAAGCCCTAAGCCCCAAACCCTAAACCCCAAGCCCTAAACCCTAAACCCTAAACCCTAAACCCTAAACCTTAAACCCGAAACCCTAAACCCTAAACCCTAAACCCTAAACCCTAAACCCTAAACCCTAAACCCTAAACCCTACTGAGCCCTGAGCTCTCGGCCAGTGGTTCGCCTTGGCTGACAAAGACCGGTCCAAGAGCATCGGCCCGGGAGCCTCAGAGGGCAGCAGCCTGTAGGGGTTCTAAGGGCTTCTAGCCCTAAACCCTAAACCCTAAACCCTAAACCCTAAACCCTAAACCCCAAACCCTAAACCCTTAACCCTTAACCCTAAACCCTAAACCCCTGATACAGCAGTGCCCTAAGAATTACCCTAAACCCTAAACTTGTTCTCGGGAGGGCTTTTTGGCCTTTGGGAGGGTTCGTGGTTTCTTTCTTTCGGGAGGGTTTAGGATTTTTGGAGGGGGGGCGGGGGTTTGGGGTTGAGGGTCTCGGGCAGTTTCAGGGTCTAGGGTTTAGGGTTAGGGTGCAGGGTTGAGGGTTCAGGGTTTGGGGTTAAGGGTTCAGGGTTTAGGGTTGAGGGTTTAGGGGTTGTAAGGTTCCGTTTCCTTTCCGAGGGCGTAGGGCTTTTCAGTGGAAGACAGGCTCCCCATCTTGGGTTCAGAGTGGAAGTGTGGTTTAGGGTTTCAGGGTCTGAGAGTGTCAGGGTCTTAGGGTTCTCGGGGTTTAGGAATTTTGGGGTTTCAGCGTTTTATGGTTTCAGGGTCTGAGGGTTTTAGGGATCTAGGGTTGTGGGCTTCTAGGGCATTTAGGGTCAGAAGCTTGCGAATGGGGAGCTCGGTCCCTGTATGTAAAGTATTCTGGGAATCTCGCGCATGGCCCATCGGATGAGCCGTTGCACCTGAGTCAGCACGAGGCCTCAGCCCTAAAGCCCTAGACCCTGAAAACCCCAAACCCGGAACCCAAAACCCTACGCAGCCTAAAAGCCCGAGCCCTAAAGCCCACAAGCCCAAAGCATCCAACAAAACAACCCAAACCCAAGATTTTAAGCCGCAAACCTAAACCAGCCCCAACAGCCCCAAAAGCCCCAAAAGCCCCAAAAGCCCCAAAAGCCCCAAAAGCCCCAACAACCCCAAAAGCCCCAAAAGCCCCAAAAGCCCAAAAGCCCCAAAAGCCCCAAAAGCCCCAAAAGCCCCAAAAGCCCTGAACCTTAAAAGCCTTCCGGCTGGGGGGGTTTCAGGCGCGGAGGAGTTCCGCGAGCTGATGGACACGGCCGGGGTTCAGGGTTTAGGGTTCAGGGTTCAGGGTTTAGGGTTTAGGGTTTAGGGCTAGGGTTTAGGGTCTTGGAAGTTGAAGGGGTTCAGGGAGTTGGGGGTTTTCGGGGGTTTCGGGGTATAGCGTTCGGTCCAGGGCCGACATTTTTATTAGCCATGACGCTTTTGAGGTGTTTGGGGTTCAGGGTCCAGGGGTGAGCCTCAAAAGT